CTATTTCTAGATATCTATATATATCTATATCTACATATCTATTTTTAGATATATAGAAACCTAGATATTCTAGATATAGATATATATCTAGAATGTATATCTATATCTATCTATTGATAGATATCTATATCTAGAATATATATCTACCTATATCTATATAGACAGATATGTAGATATAGATATAAATAGATAGATAGAACATTATGGAAACAAGTGCACCTGCCAGCTTACCAGCAGTAAGAGGAATATTAGTCATAAGAGCAATCCTCATACAATATCTTCCCTCTTAGGCTCCCAAGGTGTCTAGCAAACTGGAGAGACCAAAAATCCTTGCAGGCATCTGGCTCAGACCCTACCTGAATATATTAGTCAGGATAGGATAGGGTATGCTGCAGTAACAAGCAAATCTCCAAACCACAGGAACTAAAGACAATAAAAGCTTATTTCTAGCTCACACTGTGTGTATAACACAGAATGACAAGGGGACTCTGCTCATTGTCTTCATCCCATGACCCAAGCTGTCAGAATAGCCACAATCTAGAAATTGGTGGTTATCCTAGCAGAAGGGAAGAGTGTGTGACAAATCTCTCACTGGCTTTTAAAGCTTCTACCTGCAAGTAACACATATCACTCCTCTTGTATTTTACTGCCCAAAGCAAGATACATGGCCATACCTAATTGGGAGGGGACAGAGACGTGGTTCACAGTCACGACTCCCATTCTGAGTGGACAGAGGCATTTCTACTCAGACTGATATTGTTTTCATGAAACAGGTGGTCAGAACCACAGAACCAGTTTGTGCCAGGTGGCCAGGTAGGAAGAGGTATTTTATTTTTATTCTTTTCTTTTTAACGAGGGAGGGATATCTATGCATGAGAAGGTTTTTTTTTGTTTGTTTTTTTTTTTTAAATGGAAGTCTTTAGAAAAACATGGGCCATTGAAAATACCCTCTCAGGAGCACCTAAATAGGAAAAGTAAGCCACATTTGGTATATGAAAAACATATTCACTAACCATCTCAGGTCCTCTTATTAACAGTGAAGTTCATGGAACCACTGAGCAGGACACAGCTTAATCAGGAATTCTCAGCATTGTTACTGTATGGTTTCTAGGGTATTTCAGGCATTTGGAGAGAAAGGCTCCTCCTATAATAACACTTAAAGCACATGGTAACAAGGGTGGGTATTTTCCAAGATCAGTTGCTCTTCCCATGCTATACAGTTCATTATTTTGTCTTTAAGCTTAATTTCCAAGAGCAACCTCTAAGAGCCTTATATAGGAATTTTCTACCTGCTACTACAATCCCAGGGAGTTAGGGCCAAGCCTCAAGCCAAGGAGTCACTAAACACATGGGCATAGGCTTTCCAAGACTTTATACATTCTATCTGTGTATTTTTTCTATTGTTCTTTGCTCCTATTTAGGTTAAAATTTAACTATTCACACTTCAAGTCACATTAAATTATACTTTTTTCAGGAAAATCTTTTCAGTTCAGCCATACTCCATGTATTTCTCGCCCCTCATGGGGAAGAGAAACTTGTCCAGTGAACCCTGTCTTCCAGTTAAATCATCCCAGAATACACACTGTCCTGGTCCCCCACCCTCCTACCTGGCCATCTTCCTTTGCTAGCTTCTCCTCTATTGATTGCTAAATGTCGTTGGGCTTGTCCCGACTGGTCCAGGGTCCTCTTCCCTTCTCTATTTCTCTCCCTGGGTCCTCTTATACATTTCCCACAGCTTCATATAGCATGATGAATGACTTTGAAATAATTATCCATAGTCCACATCTCTCTTGGGTGCTACAGTAGATTATACCCAACAGCCTACACGACATTTTCCCTCAGACATCTCATGCACCTTGTGGTCAGCATCCTCTGCAGTAGCCCCGAACCACTCCACCCCTCCTGGAACTCACACCCTCCCACAGCACATCAGGGTGGTCTGTGTGACCAAAGCCCACAGAACTGACTGGATGCCACATCTGGAGATGAGGTTCTAAACAAAATGGTGGCTTCTACCTTGGTTTCTCTTTCTTGGGGGAAGTAGTCCTATGGAGAGGTTCATATAGTAAGGAACTAAAGTTTCTGGCCAACAGCCAGCTGGTCTGTCAATAGCCATGCAAAAAAGCCAAAAGCAGAGCTTACAGCCCCAGCCAAGCCTTGAGATAACTGCAGCTTTGGCCCACAGCTTGACTGCCACCTCATGAGAGATGCTGAGCCAGAAGCATCCAACCACACTGCACCCAAATTTCAGACCTACAGAAACTGTGAGATAATACATGTTTGTTGTTTTAATCTGCTAATTTGCAGGGTGATTGTTTTAATAGAGTAATACATAACTCATCTGCACACCACAACTTAATATGTACTAAGTAGAACTTTGTATCTCTTCTAACCCAATTCCTAGCCTTCCTTTTCTTAATTGATATCGACATCTACCCAATTTCAGAATCATCCTTGTTTTCTCCTTTTCTTTCACCAGCACATCCTATTCATCAACCAGTTCTATGGAATCCAAACCCAAACCATTGATTAAATCCATTCACACAACAAAATGCCTGAAGAGCCCACATTGTTTGCTGGAGAAACAACAGACCAGAAAGCACAAAATCCCGCCCCCGCGTAGTTGCCATTCTCGTGGGAGGGAGTAAATAACAACCTACAAACAAAATACATATTGTGTCCTATGGAAATAAGAAGGATGGACAGGAAAGCTACAGTGAATAAACGGACGGGGGATGCCAGGATATGTGAAGAGTGTTAGAATGTTATTTTAAGTAGGGCTGTCAGGAAGGCCCCACTGATAAGGTGACACTTAACAACTCCACATGCTGTGCCACTGCCCTAGCTGAGCCACCATCACCTTTTGTTTGGGCTTCATCACAGCCATCTTCATGTCACTCCCCTGCCTACCACCCTTCAGTGGCTTCCCATTGCTATTAGATGAAAATCTAGAAGCTTTACCAGTGCCACCGCCTCCACCCCCTGCCATTAGCCCTGCATGACATGGTCCTACCCTGTGTCTCCAACTTTATCAGGAACAAATCACACAAGCTTTACCCACAAAGACCTTCTGGCAATTTCTAGAACATGCCCCCTTCTTTCATGCCTCCTTTGCCCTTACAGGTTCCAAGGCCGGAAGAAACATCACTAAGTCCATCTCATCCTTCTAAATCAGGAGGTCCCGGTGAGGTCTCCTTCTTACCACTATAACCAGTGTGCCGCCCCCCATTCTTGTTTATCACACCTTTTGTTTGCAATTTGCACCTACTTGTTAATTAACTTGTTCTTGTGTCCTTCTTTGTTTCCTCAGGCCTCTCTGCCTTCAACCACAATATCAACCCTCACCTGCCCCATTCTCTATTGAAGGCCCAGTGCTACCAGGTACACGATGCACAATCATTGAATGGATCAACAGCTCAACAGCTGTGGTTTGACCACTTTGTAATTTCAACACCAAATGTCACCAGCAGTACCATCAGTTGGTAAACACAGATTCTTGTTTGCATGAATCTGCAGCTTTTTTGCTCTAGGAGATATCTAGACATCAATCACCTTTGTGTGCTTAGGAAAGATAAATAATTTGTACCAAGTCAGGATCTGGAACGAGAACTAGGTAAGGTTAGGCTGCACACACGGGTCCAGAGTCCTTTTAACAAACAACTTCGCCTACTGCCCTACCCACTTGTGAAAAACAAAGTACAGGTGGCTGAGGGGAAAGAGCACAGGTTTTAGAGTTAGAAAGACGTAGATGTTTTTGTCTACATTTTCCAGCAGTGTGGCTGCCCTTGTCTGTGCCTTCCCCCCTAACATGAGGCTATCTCATGGGGCTGTGGGGAGGATTAAATCAGAGCACACGGAGCTCACAGAGAACCCCGGTGACTAGCTTTCACTAACTGTCAAAAAATATAGGCCTGGGTATCCATATCATGATTCTAAGGTCAAGGAAGGACAATACAAGGTATTTTGCTATTTTATTCAAAAGATCTGCATTATACATGTTTAGTAAATTGTATAAGAATAAAGCAACCTCAAGTTTCCACAAATACTAACATAATTTCATAAAGTAGCATGTTGTGAATTTTGTGTTCAAATTATCTTTTGTATAATTAAGTTGCTGCCTTGCTGTCTGCAGTCAGCAAGTGGTCTGACCTTTGCAGTGTGCAGGGGGCTTTCTTTTGGAAGGGGGCTGCTTATTTCTGGAATTACATCAGGCCTATGGGGTAACTTCTGTGTCCCGCTCCTGGCTATGTAACATAAAATGTAACTGGACAAGTAGGTGCCATAAGTCTTAGGCTCTTTTCTCACTGACAGTTCCTTCTGGATGACGATGAATGCCATTATCCTTCAGGATAGGAGTTTCCAGGATGGAAGCTTGTCAGTTTCCTCCCCTGTAGCAGTGACATAAGGACAAATGGACTGTGTTTCTACACAAGGCAGACGTTTTTATCTGTAAACATGCTCAGAGGTGTCACTGCACCTGAGATGTCCTCACAAGTATCTCAACGAAGCACACCCAAGTGTGTTTGGAATACTTTATAAGAACCACGATACCACAGTAAAACACAGAACTACGCTGAGGCCCAAGGTTTAGAAGTATGATTTCGAAGCTCGTTAAAGGAGAAGGAAAATGGACAAAGAGCCCCTTGCCCCAGCACAGCTGCCAGAGAGCGACCAGAAGCATTTCTGGGGAGCAACCATGATTGCACACCACGCAGGGTCCTTGGGCCTGACTCTGTGCCTCTCGGCCTTGGGTTTCAGGTTAGGCTTCGCGATCAAACCTTAGACTTCGGAGCAAACAGACACAGCCAAGCCAAGACCAGCCTCCTAAGCCTTCCTCAGCTTCACGACCGCCGGACCTTGGGCTTTGCAGCTTCCGGGGAGCTATGGGGCAAAAGCAGCAGCACGCCCAGGTGCGGCCTGCTTTAAGTAGGAGTCCTTTCGCAGAGCTGGGCAGTGACCCCGCCGCAGGGACTCCCGGTATGGGACACCCCCATTCCTACCAGGCCCGCAGCTCCTGCGCCCGCTCTGGCTCCTGGAGCCTTCCCTCCTCACCACCAGCACGGCCTTCTCCACCGGTACCCTCCGAAGGGCCAAGTTCCCGGACCAGACTCTCTCCCGGCTCCCTCCCACTTCCCTCTCCTTTCTAGTGTCTCCCCGCCCGTAGGTGCTGGGCTTTAGGCCAGGCCACGCCCTCCAGCCCTAGCCCACCCCCTGCGGCCCTAGTCACACCCCAATCTGGCTCTAGGCCACGCCCAGAGGGCTGTCCTAGTGTCCTAAACCAGAAGGGAACAGCTAGTTTGTCGCTGAATAATCCTGTAAATGGCTGCTCTGGGAAGCCACTTCCAGTGCATACGAGTCTGTTGCAGATAGTCCTCAAGTATTCTGGAAGGACGTGCTTCTCATCTCTGTCTAATTCTGCTGAGTCGAAACGGGATAGATTCCCAAGGGGAAAAGAAGCAGCTACATTTTCCCCAGATCCCAATTCTCTGTAGAAAAGCTTGGAACGTGGAGGTTTTAGTAGCTACAAAAACCCTTTGAGTTTTCTCCAAGGATAACAAATCAGAGGGGCTGCCCTGGCAATTTGATGTCGGGAACGGAATTTGGATCACCATTCTGAATACAGACGACTTTGGGCTTATCCACCCATTGTCTCTTATCTCTGTGCCTGAGGTTTCTCAGGTGTGGAGTCTGTAGCAGAGCACTTGAACTGGCCCCAGCACTACATGCAACTGAAGTAGGCTTAGTGAAGATGGGTGAGTCTGTCTACAAAACCTAGTGCTAGGAGCATTTACCACAATATGGGGTAATAGTTTTAAGGGTCACAGTGTATTCAATTAATTTTATTCTGAATGTTGAGCATCAAGTGGATGAGTACTAACATGGGAAGAACCTTCTGTTGTCATTTGAAAGGTTGGTGGAATAATAATAATAAAATAGATGGTGTTTCCTTAGGCCAACTCTGCCAGGCTTTATAAAAGGTATTTTGTATATGGTATCTTGCTTAATCTTTAGAACAACCTACATATAGTAGGATCTCTGTTTCCTCCAATTACATACAAGAAAACAGCCTTCGGCAGAGACCAGCCTGGGCAAGGCCAGGGCTAGAGCCCAGGTCCGTTGCTGTCACTCCACCACACTTTTCTTAGTAAAATGGGCACTTCGATAGGAGGCTGGGAAATAAATTAATATATTTAAGTCAGAAAAGGACATAAAAGAATATAAATGTTTTGTGGCGGGTTTAAATGTTTGTTAAGGAAGGTAAAAATATGAGAAGTTATTAAGAAGTTGGCTGGTAAGGGCTAGGCAGGGAGAAAATATTGAGGGAGAGCAATCATCCTAAAGGATGGTGGCTGCTTAAATCCCAGGGACAGGGAAAGGGATAAAAATAGGGCCCAGAGGTGGGAGAGACAAGAAAAAATGTAGAGGTTAAGAACTCTGGAGGGATGAGCATTGAGGAGTCGAACATTACTAGGAATGACTGGGGCTCACACTGAGATTGTGTAATGAATAGATGGATTGAGGAAGCCTTCTAGAGAGATTTCAGTGCTGGCTACCACTCAGATTACATGCACTGCAGCCGTGAAGCCAGACGAATGTGTACCTGACAATGGTTGTTAAGAGAAGCCTAAAAGTCCATTATTTATAATGTGATGTATTTTACTAGTCCTTGCTGCCAGCCATGAAATTATATACAAGATTCGTGTTAAAAAATGACTTCAGCTTTTTTTTTAATGGAAGTTACTAAATTCTACACTGCACACATCACACCCATTGTGTGAGATTTGTGATAGATTTCTCATTCGGGCTCTTATTTCTGTAGCTTTTACTCCTTAAAAACATAGTGCTAAAGAGGAACTAGTCTAGATTTCATTTCTCTTAGAAGTAGCTTTAAAGAAACATCAAATTAATATGCAGGAGTTTCATTTCAGGAACTATTGTGAACATATGTTTTCAAACAAGGGGAGAGCAATTTATACAAATCTAGCGTGCAACAGTGAAAAAATTGGGTAGCATATAGTATTTGAGTACATACTACAGTTCCATTTTATGTCATAGTGATTTAAGCACTACTGTTAGCTAAGCATCAAATGCTATCCTACTTAAAAATAATTTAAAATATATTCTGCCATGGCCAGAGTGGCTCAGTAGGTTGGGCATCGTCCCGCATACCGAAGAGTCCCAGGTTTGATTCCTGGTCAGGGCACATGCCTAGGTTTCAGGTTCAAGCCCCCATCAGGGCACATGTGAAAGGCAACCAATCAATATTTCTCTGTCACATCAATGTTTCCCTCCCTCTCCTTCTCCCTCCCTTCCTCTCTTTCTCTAAAAACAGTAAAAGTAAAAGTAAATAAAAATAAATATTCTGTAGTACTGGCCCCCCAATCTACTACTAGCCCTGAGGATGGGTGGACAAGAACAGACAGAAGTGTTCCTTTATGATGTTCTGCTGTCAGAAATGATAGTCCGGCATGTAGCTTTGTGCCCAACTTCATTTTTCAGCCTTTCTCCCTGGAAAAACTTAACTTGGAGATATTTTTGAACCCTAAAATATCAATGTCTGATTGAAATAGCCAAGTTAAAAATCATGTTATTAAGGAACCAAAGGTTTCCAAATGAATCTCTCAGTTAAGGGTCCAGGGCAAATGCACTCTCGTTTCCACAGCACCTGCTTATTATTTTCATCTTGTCTTTGAGTCCTGACATCACTTGAACTCAGAAATGCTAAATTGGCAGAGAGAAGGAAATCAAAACCAAACTTCCAAAACCCCTCACCGTTTGGGTTAAACTTTGGGAAAGCATCAGGTTTTCATCACCTAGTTAGTTGTTTTAAATGTCTACACAAAAAGAGTCTGTACAAAAAACCTGGAGAGGGCAAACATAAGGTAATCCAGATAATTTGTCACATAAACAGCAGGAAAAAAGCATGATGGTGCTATTGTTTCGCTGTCAGGTTTTAATTGTTCATTGGAAGTTAAAATTTGCAGTGCTATAGACAGTTTCCTGCTTTAATTTTCAGTCAGGTGTGATAAACCATTTCTATTACTTCTAGGAAATTGGTTAGATACCAATGTCACAAGAGGTCCAGCATGGAGCTTTCAACACACCTTTTTTTCTATTAAATTTCTAATTTTTTATACTGCCCAGAGAATAGTAGTACCTACTCAATATATTTTATTACTTCACTAAGAAGCAAAGGAAAAATGAAATTAAACTCTTTTAGTTCTTAAAGAGCAATATTGAAACACATAATCCCCCAATTCTAGGAACCCTTTAATGAGAGTTGTAGTGTTACAGGTGAGTCACTACAAGCTTTCGTAGAAGCAGGTTATCTTTGAGACTATTCTGACTCTACAGCTGCTGTGGAAAACAATACAGCAGTTCCTAAAAAAACTAAACATAGAATTACCAAATGAACCAGGAACACTGCTTCTAAGTATGTATGTGTACCCATAAGAAGTAAAAGCAGGGACTCAGACAGGTATTTGTGCACCCTTGTTCATGGAAGCATTATTAACAACAGTCAAAAAGTGGAAACAGCCCAAGTGTCCACTGATGGATGAGTGGATAAATAAATGTAGTCTATTCATACAATGGGATATCATTTAGCCTTAAAAAGGAATGAAATTCTGATAACACTACAACTTAAATAAACCTTAAAGACATTATGTTACATGAAATAAGCCAGACACAAAAGGACAAATATTATATTTTTTTATTTAGGTGAGGTGCCTAAATTAGCCCAATTCACTGGTACAGAAAACAGAGTAGTGGTTACCAGAGTCTGGGGGCGGGGGTGTGGAGTTACTACTTAATGGGTACTGAGTTTTCATTTGGGAAGATGAAAAAATTGTGAAGGTGAATGGTGGTGACATGTGCCCAACAACATGAATGTCCTTAGTGCCACTGAACTGTACACTTAAAAATGGTTAAAATGGTAAATTTTAGGTTATGTATATTTCATCACAATAAAAATATTTTGACTTTAGACAGCTGTTTGTAAATAACTTGTAAAGTTATTTCTCTCACTAGATTTGCTAGTATAAATAATAGGTCATCATTTTAAACTATATTATCATTCAGTTTTTTAATTTAAATTGTATTAGTATTAACTTTAAATACTTTTAAATTAAATTGCCTTTTTTTCATGACCAAGCTATTTTTTTTAGTATCGTGGCAGAATTGAAGGTAATTGGTGGCTAGATGCTCATTAAACCCATTTCCTTTTCCTCCCAGGCACATAGCTGCACTACAATTCCCAGGCTTCCTTGCAATTAGGTGAGGTCCTGCAAGTGCTAGCCAATGGCATGTGGTAGAAATGACATGTACCTTCCAGAATTGGCCCATTAAAAACCTTCCGCCCATCCACCATCTTCACTCTTTCTCCACTAATGGGTGTGATGGAGGAAATTCCTGGAACCTGGAGAATAGAGTCACAAGAGAGAAGGGGGCTGTACCTGAATGGCCATGTAGAGCACAGCCCTCCTGCCTATCCTGACTATGAGAAAATGGGAGTGAGAAATTTACTTTTATTGTTTTAAGCCACTGAGATGTGGGGATTATTTGTTCTAGCAGATAGCTTACCCTGACTGATATAGTTCTGTCCTGGTGAGAAAATTGGGTGGCTCCATATGCAAACTGAAAACCACCCTCCTCTAGCCAGTCATTGACAACTGACATTAAATGGCTCCACGATGGCTTCCAGATCCTTGAGAGAATTATTGATGTGTTAGATGCATCTATTAGCACATAATAATGTGATTATTGATCTCTAATAAAAACCAGTGTTGAGAGCAAAGTTAAACAGAATAAAATTAAATCCAAAACAGTCATCTGGGAAGCTATTCATTAACTGTAAGTCCAGGCATGTGCGTCTGAAGAATACAGAATGGTAGTTTTGTCAGTGTTGAAAAACAAAACAGTGTGGACTCGAAGCAAACATTAAAAGGATGACTTGAATTTAAAATTCGAGTAACTTAATTATTTTTTCTTTAAGTAATATGTATAATTTATTTGTTTTCATTTCGGGATCTTTTAAAATTGTGTGTGTGAAGGGGAGAGGTTTGCTGTGGACATTATGCTAAGTGAATTAGTTTGAATTCTTATTCAGAAACCTTGTTTAAAATGTCTTTTAATGTTCTTG